CTACTACTACTACTATTACTACTACTACTACTACTACTACTACTACTACTACTGCCACTACTACTACTACTACTACTAGGACTACGATTGTTACTACTACTACTACTACGACGGCGACGGCGATGACTATTATCTTTACTACTGCTACGACTTCCACAAGCACAAGTACGATTGCTACTAGGATCCCTACTGCTTCTATTATTGCTACTATTAGTTTTACTATTACGACGACTACCATTACTACGATTGCTACTACTACTACGATTACTATTATGACCACTACTATCACTACTACTACTACTGCTACTACTACTATAGTTTTCACGATCACCACTACTACGGGCACCACTAAGACTACTGCTACCACTACTATGACTATTACTGCTACTACTACCCCTACTACGACTACATCTTTGACTACTACTACGATTACGACGACGAGTGCTACAACTATTACCACAATTACTACGACTACGACGACGACGACGACGACGACAACGACGACGACGGCTACTACTATTACTACTACTACTACTACTACTACTATTGTTACTACTACCACTCAAGGGTTCATTAGGTGCGTTGTTTTACCAGAAGCGGGCCACCGTGACCAACATGAGTTCATTCCGACACATGTGTAATAGAAAGCGGCTACAGAACAATAGGTTTTACACAAATCGTTACGTCCCGAATCAGGTTTCCTGGGGGAAGGATTGGGCCCCTCCCGCCCCTCTCCCCCTCCCCTTCTCATTCCTTTCCCCTTCCCTCCTTGTGATATGCGTGGCAGGGCTCGGTCGTCGTCGTCGTCATCGTCGTCGTCTGCGTGCGACGACGACGACGACCTGCTCGTTCCTCGTCGTGCATTCCACGCACGACTTGCTGGCACAGATCGTTCATTATCCCCCCGTGGCCCTGATTAGAATACCCCCTGTGATTATTTGGAGTCCTTTGTTCACCCAAACCCTCGGTACCCGCCTTCTTCGCCTTCGATCGTAACCCCCTGGGGGTATGTCTTCCTTGCCTGCCACGTGTAATTGTTGCAGCCCCTGGAACAAGGGAAGAGAGGACGGATGGAAGGGGGAGGAAGAAGGATTCAGCACAGGGTCCGCAGGCGGGGGGCTAGGAGCAGAAAACACGAACCACAACGAAACGGGCCCATCGGGCGGGTAGAGCCTACCGGGCGGTTTGGGACGGCGGGCTCAAGCTGCCAGGTCGAGCAGGCGTGTTGCTGAAGCTTGAAATCTGCATGAATCGCGAGGAGAGGTTGAGCGATACCACAATTCCCCAGTAAACCGTGACAAAGGCGAAAACGAGAGCGCGATTCCTGTGTGTCGTAGGCGCGGCGTCTCAATACATTGGGATAAGTCTCCACGCGGGAGCAGTTTCCGGTATAACTTGTAAGGAAATCAAACGCGGGAGCGCGATGTTCATGTCATGCTTGAGGAAGTATCCAGCGGGAGCCGCTGTTGTTGTAAATTAGGGGCCATGGGCCCAAGGGCGTAGCTTGGTGACCTTCCAGTTTTTGTTAGGCGACAGGGTACGAGCCCCGGGAAGGGCACTTCAATTCAAGAAGCACCTTGTGCTCCAGAGGGGGGATCATTGTAAGGTTCTTGGAAAGGAGAACTCAACAGCAACATCATCAACAACACGAACAGCAACAACAACGACGACAACGACGACGACAACAACAAGTGCCCCCCCTCCTGCACCCACCCATGCCCGCCCCTCTGGCCTCCCCTCCCCCATTCACCCGCCCCTCCCTCCCTCCCTTCTTTTTGTCCGGTCCCCTCCGCGACCCCCTCTGCTCCTCCGCCACTGCCTCCTCTTCTCCTCCTCCCTCCTCCTCTCCCCCTCGGGGGTAAGGTTTCGGTGGGGCCGCATTTGCATCGGCAACGAGTTGGGCATGGCCCGAATGTCGGTCGCTGGCTGATTCAGCTCGCCTTCCTTAGGTTCACCCTGCGAAGCGAAGGTCGAGATCTCCGCCCCCCCTGCAGGAGGAACAGCTGGCGAACCTGGAGAGGTCCCTCCGCTTCTTCGACAGCACCTTCAAGTGCCTGGAGAGCCAAGAGGCGACTCGGACCCTCTCGGTCTGGGGCCCTTCTGGGCGTGTCTCGGGTGGGCCCTCGCAGCACCCTCGGCTCCCGTTCGGGGGGCGCCCCAGGGCCTTCCCCAGACCTCCCCTTCGTTGCGACAAACATTTGCGGAAGACTTCTCGTCATGTTCGACTTCTGCGAGCCCTCGCCAGGCCCCAGGCCAGTCATCAAAAACGACCCAGGATGAGACATCGGTCCCGGGGACAGGATCCTACGGTCGGGAACGTTTGCTCAGAGCATCGCGCCGCAAGGTCGCCGTCGTCGTCGCCCTCGTCGTCGTCCTCTTCGTCCTCGTCGTCGTCGCCAGCGCCGCCGCCGTCGCCGTCGTCCTCGTCCTCGTCCTCGTCCTCGTTCTCATCCCCACCACGCTTCGGGGCGGCACGCTAACCACGTCCCAGTTCCCAGGCGTCAAAGTCCCGAGCTTCGTCCCGCCTACCGCCAAGAGGAGCAGAGCGGCACGCTGTCTGCTTGCGGTAGCACAGCATGTGGCCAGGGCCGCCGCGCGACACCTAAGCAACAGCTCCTTGCCGCAATTCGAGAACCTGACATCCGACGTCGCGATTTCCCAATATTGAAGTCGGGCACGTCCCATTGCAGGAGGAATACTTTCAAGATTCGTAGAACAGTGTATGGTGACGATTGTTCGTGCTCTTCTGCTAAGTTTGATAACTGCTTGACTGTTTTTGTTGTTTCTTCGAAAACGCGCCTGTAAGGACATGCAGGACCTAACCCAACACGGGGTCTCCAGGAGTCCCACCCCAGGACGAGCTCTTCTTTCTGCGTCAGTTGTTTCTGAGGACCGAGCCAGACAGAAACAGCCTCCACCAGAGGTTGCCAGTTGTGAAAAGCGTTCCGCCTTTCGGCGCCACGCCCAGAAGTGAAGTGAGCGGGGGCCGGCCTTCTCAGAAGGCGGCGCGACTTCTCAGAAGCCGATTGGCCTCTTTCAGAAGCCCCCTGCGGCTTCGAAGGAGGCCTACAAACGTAGTCCTTCCGAGCCTTCTGAGATGGCTGGCCCTCTCTGCCTTCACGCTTTGGAGCGCATTTTTCAATTCGCAGACAGAACGGGCGTAATGGGGTGGGGAGGGGACGGGAGAGGGCAGAACATAGCGCCCCCACCCCAGACTGCGGTGCCGGACGCACTGCGGCAGTGCCGGGAGGGAGCGTTACGTTGGGGGGCACAGCGCGCGTTACGGCACAGAGGTTTAAAACACAAAAAACGTTATCTTGTAGGAAGTGTTGCCGAGCCTCTGATTTGTTGTTGACCGAGACGTTGTTGGTCTGCGGGTTCTCGCCGGCTCCTCGCTGGATGGCGGAGCTCTCCCGGCGGCAGGCGCTGGAGTGCCCGGTTTGCATGGACGACGTCGTTCCCAGCGACCGCGCGATCACGAGCTGCGGCCGCGACCTCGGGCCTGGATGACGAGTCCAGGCCTCCGAGATGGGGTCGGAGTAGGAGGGGTCGGAGTATCGCGCCGCATCGCCGAGGTATCGGCGATGCGGCTCGATGCGGAGCCCGATTTTCCCCACGCCGATGGCACCGATGCATCGCCGATGCATCGCCGATGCATCGTGTATGCATCGGCGATGTATTGGCGATGCGGCGCAACCCTCCGACACCATCTACTCGGACACCTTTTGGGAGGCCTCTGACGAGGGGGACCAGGAGGACCTGGCGATTGGTAAAAGGCGGTGGCCTACAGGGGGGGTGACGAAAAAGGCCCCTTTGGGGGCCAATAGGGGTCCAAAGGGCGCCCGAAAGGGGCCCTTCAGGGCCCCTTTCTTCATCCCTCCTTTAGGTCACCCTCCGTTAACGAGTCCGAGAGGAGGAGGGGGAGGATGGAGGGAGGGAGGAAGGAGGGAGGAAGGGAGGGTCAACGGGGGGATAGGTTCAGGGAGGGATGCATCGTCCTCCAACCGCTCACTGACCGCCGATAGAGGCCCGATAGCCCACCCCGCCCAGGAACGGGAGGTTTCGCTTTCCAGGGCCTAACGCCGATCTATCGGCGATGTATCGCCGATTCCTGGTCGATGTCTCCCCCCCCTGGGCCGGTCCCCCCTGTCGTTTCCCCTCGAGAAGGGACGAGGACGAGGAGAGGAGCAGGAGGACGCGGGAGGGAGGAGGACGAGGAGAATGAGGAGGAGGAGCAGCAGCAGGACCAGGTGGATGAGGAGGGAGGGAGGAAGAGGATGAGGAGGGAGGGAGAACAGGAAGGAAGAAAAGAGGAAGAGAATGAGGAGAGAGGGAGGAGAGGGAGAGGATGAGGAGAGAGGGAGGAGAGAGGGAGGAAGGAGAGAGGGGAGTGGAGTTGGAGGTTCGGGGGGGGGGGGGGAGACCGAAGTGGGACCGAGTGGCAAAAGCTCGGCATCGATTTGTGTGGGTCCGTGTCGTGCGCGCGGGCGAGGCGACGCAGCGCGAGCTCTTGCGTGAATTTGGGGCACGGGGCGCACCACAAGGAGTTGGGTCCCTGCCCGACGGGGCCTGCGATGGGGCTGCCCCGCGGTTGTGCCGATGCTTGTTCTGTTGGCTGTCCCGACGTCCGTCCCGATGGTTGACCTGCTGGCTGTTCCTGTGGTTGTCTGGCTGCTTTTTTCCGGTGGTTGTCCCACTGGTCGTTCCGACGGTTGCCCCGACGGTTGTCCCAATGGTTGTCCCGATGGTCGTCCCAATGAGTGTGCCGCCCAATTGGTGGCCGGATGGTTGTCCGGATGGTTGATTTAGTTATTGTCCCGATGGTTGTCTCGATGGGTGTCCTCTTTGTTGTCCCGACAATCATCATGTGGTTGTCTCTTGGTTGTCAGTTTGTTGTTCCGTAGTTATCCCGTGGTGGTCCCGACGGGTGTCGGGGTGGTCGCGTGGTTACCCTGTGGATGTTCCGAAGTTGCCCCATGGTTGCTTCGCGGCTGTACCGTAGCCATTTTGGCTCAAGCTCAAGTCAGCGCAGGTCTCGGCCCCTGCCAGCGTGCCAGAAGAGCTCGCTGTGAAACCGTTTGCCCAGTAATCCCGAACTCTCTCCATCAACCAGCAAGGCCATGTCTGCCTCTGCCGGTACGGTCGCCTCTGTCCTTTGTTTCATTGCATCGGTGTTGACCCTACTCATCGGGCTCATCCATTTTGTGCAGAAGGTGGAGGACCTGGAAGTCAAATTCTCGGATTGCAGCTTCTTCCAGGAAGACTGCAACGGAGGTTGGCGTAACGTGTTTACGTTTAGACCGAACGTATTCTTCGACCTTTGGACGCCAATGGTTTTCGGCTTGCTCGGAATTGGTTTGCACTGCAGGTTTGTTTATCACAAGATCGTGCTGAACTACATGACGTACGCATTGTTAATGATCGTCATTGCTCTGTTTGCAAACGTGGGCTACGTTGGACTGTGTGGAGTATTCACAGCAGCATTCTCTGTTGCATGTGCTCTTGTGTGCGTCATAGTGCGCTTGATGGGTGAGATGGGCATCGTGCTCCTTGACCTCGGGAAGTAGCGACCCGTGTGCACGGCTCGATGCAGCTCTGCACTTTGTGTGCCCGCTTTCGACGTACCTGCAGCCCGAGCCATCAAGTGCTTGGGGCTGCCAGACTGACACTTTCGAATGAGCTTGGACGTCACAGACTGCGTGTACGAAAAAAGAATGGTTGCTTCGCGGCTGTTCCTCGGTTCTCCAGTGGTTGTTTGGAGCCGAGATGGCCAGGTTTGGAGCCGTCGAGCTCCCGTGCTGCTCGCTGAGGGGCCTGCCGCTGACCTCGTGGACGGCCCCGCCGCCATGGGACACGCCGCACACGGCAGGGAGGCTCGGAGAGCAGGAGGGGCCCAGTCGTTGCCCGCCCTGGCCAGGTATTGTCAAGAGAGGAAAAATCATACAGACACAATTGATCGTCGATTCCAAGGAAAATATGGGAAGTGTGGGGGGGAAGACAAAACCGAGAAAAGATTGGGAAATATGGGGAATCGTGTTATTTGTGTGTATTTATTTGTGTGTCCTGGGGCCCCTTCATACTGGTCGCCTGAAGGGGACGGCAGCGGAGGCGAAGAGTTGCATGACTCAGCATGCCGCCCCCGCGGCTGGGGCTGGGTAGCCCTGGACACCGCAGGTCCCAAGAGGCCGGCCGTCAGAGGAGGAGCCGTTGCCCAGCGAGCGGGGTCAAGGTGAACCAACAGCAGAGCGGAGCTTGCAGCACTCACATCCGCGTCGCTGAACACACGTGGTAGGCTGCATTATTGGGCAGACCCGGGGGTACCCTTCAAGGGTTGAAGAAAAATGTCACGAGCAGAATACCATGGGGGATATGTTGGCGGAAGTCTGTGCAGCCCTCCTCAGCAGGGAGGACAGTCGACGAGATATCTAGTGGAGGAACAGCCACATCGCGCTCGTCGGGAGAATGGGCAAGGGTATACACCTGCACGTCTTGTGTGGGAACCAGGCAGTGGATGAGTTGGCTAGAAGCTGTCGCGCGTGGGCTGTCATGAGTATGCTGTCGCACCCCCCGCCCTTGTCAGGGAGTACCTATTCCGTGCCACTGACAACGCTGCCACGTCTTAAAGTAGGGTGCCTTTGACGAGCCAGGTTCGGCGGTCTGAGTAACGATCTCGGCCTGACGCTCCTTGCGAAAGCACAATCAACCTCGTCCCGCACTCTGTGGCATCTCAGAGTTAGGTGGAATGGTCTCAACTGCAAGCAAGTGATGACTGATGGGCTTTCCCGAGAGTGCCCGGGCCTGCTGCCCCCTGAGCCGCCCCAGCCCAGCTCGCCTTGTGGACCAGGAGCGGCCACGCATCCCATCAGCTCCATGTCTTCGAGCCGTCTGGGACCAGCGTGAATTGTGGGCGTCGGGTTCTGTGAAGGAGGGGGCGCTTCAGAAGCCATTCAGAGGAATGTTGCACCACACTCTCCAAGATTGGGTCTTCGGTTCGATCTCGCTTTTTCCATAGGGAGACCACTGGCGTGAAGTCCTCCCGACCCCGACCGAGCCGGTTTGGGAAAGTCCATCGGCTCCCCCTCCCGCAGCTCCCCCTCTCCCCCCCTCCTTCCCTCGTCCTCTGTCCACGCTGTGGCCCTCCTCCCCTCCTCGCCCTCCCCGTCCTCGTGTCAGTCTCATCATCCCCCTGCCTCCCTCCCTCCCCTGCCCCCCTCCCTCCCCTCCCTCCCTCCCTCCCCTCCCCTCTTCACCCTCCTCGTCCTCGTGTCAGCATCACCATCCCCCTCCCTCCCTCCCTCGCCTGCCCCCCATGCCTCCCTCCCCTCCCTCCCCCCCCTCCCCCCCCTCCCTCCCCCCTGTTCCCCCGACCCCCTCGCCGGCAGAGACGCCGAGGCCACATCTTCCACAAGGCCCGCGCCGCCCTGCCGGGAGGAGCAGGGCCCTTGGGCCCCTCGCGAGTGCCACGAGACTGCCACGCGTCGCTGGGCGGCTCGCAGGGCTTCGGCGCCCTGGGGGGGGGGAGGCCGTTCTCAGAGCGTGAATTACCTCCCCCGCTTTCGCTTCCAGGCAAAACCAAGTCATACCACGCGCCTCCTCGTCAAGCGGCCTGACAAGCGCAGGCCGTAGTTTGGCATCGTTTGGTATCTCTTGGAAGCGAGGGTGGTCAAAAGCGAGGTAGGTTTGTTGTCCCCCTACGTTCCCTGCAACCCCCCGGGGGGGCATCGCAGAGGGCAGCCCGCGGCGAGAAGATCATAGAATGCCGGGGCCACGGCCCGGAGCTCGCGCCGCGGAAGGCAGAACACGCGGAGCATCGGGGGCGGCGAAAAGAGGGGGGGTGATGACTGGAGGGGGGGGGGGTATCATGGCGTGGGCCATGACGTTGCCTCAGATTTCATGGCGCCTCTTTCTCGGTTCATTGCGTTCCTGGTCCCCCCCCCCGTGGGCCGCGCTTGTGTCGCCGGCCATGACTTGCGCCCCCCCCCCTCTTGGCCGCCCCCGAGAAAATCACGACCCCCTCTTGGCCGCCCCGAGAAAATCACGACGTCGGAGCTCTGGAGGATCAGGGAAGAGGAGAAACAAGATATCATTCCCTCCCCCGTGGTGCCGATGGGCTCCTGCGGCGTTTTCGTTTCACGTGCTCCCTCTGGGCCTCTGCGCTGGTCATCCTCTCGGCGGCATGGGCAGCTGTCGTTGGCTGCGCTTCTTCTTCTTCTTCTTCTTCTTCTTCTTCTTCGCTTCCCTCTTCCCCCAAAGTCCGCTGGATTGAGAGAGCGGAATGCAAATGGATGACTCAGGACTTAGGGGTCCGCGAATGGGTCCCATAAAGGAACCTTTGCCAGGGTCGTGCAAGCACTCGCAATCAGGAGAAGGAGGAGGAGAAGGAGAAGGAAAGTAAGGAAGAGGAGGAGGAGGAGGAGGAGGAAAGGGGAAGGGAACGCCAGACATCCATCACGAGATACTGGCCAGGACTGGCGCAGGCGGTTAGCTGCCAGTCGGTGAAAAGTGGGAGGAGGAGGAGGAGGAGCAGAGCTTGAACGACAGATCAGAGTGAGCATCGAGGGGAAGGACGATTTGGAGGAGGGTCCGCAAGGAGAAGTAAGAGAAGGACCGATAAGAAGGATGAGGAAGAGGGCAAGCAGGAGGATGACAACTGTAAACTCAAGCGTCGTCAGCGATGTTGCAATAACCTCTGTCTCCAAGTTTCCTTGGCATAGGTCCCTGCCAGAATCCGTGCTCATTGCGAGAAAGTGCCCCGTTGAAAGACAACCGTCTGAGAATCCTCATTCGTGCGGACATACCGTTCCTGAGGGCTCAACGCCACGAATCAACGTGATTGTCGCTTCCAGACGATGCCAAGCCTTGCCAGAACACCGTCCCAGGGACTGCTTAATCTGTTTCGAATCTTTGAAAATGCGGCAAGCTTGCAAGACGAATGCGCGCAGCGCTACGGCGGGAGCATCATTTCGAAAACGACCCGTCCTCAGTCCATGGCGCTGCTGCAAGTTTTAAGGCGAGCGTGCGCGGCGCTGAGGCGAGAGCCACAGTTTGAAAAGGAGCCGCCCTCGATCCCTGAAACCACTGTCAATGTTTGAAACCAATGTGCGCGGCGCTAAGGCGAGAGCGACCTGCTGAACAGGACTCGCCTTCCTTCCGCGAAACTCTTTTACAATGTTCAAGTGTCCTGATCATAAGTAGTGAGGAAGTCTCAGGCGGAACACCCGGCCCGCCCTGCAGGCACGCCTGGGGGTGCGACAGGGAGGAGTTATGTAAAGGGATAAAGGAGGATGGCGACGACGACGACCAGGGTTGGCAGGGCGGTAATACGGAAGGGGAAGACGACGAAGACGAGGAGACGGACCAGAAGAAGGATAAAGAAGACCAAGAGGGGAGGAAATTGAGTAATAGCATTGGGGGAAGCTGCAGCAGGGAAAAGGAAGGTGAAAGGGGGAAACAGGACGACACTGAAATTACCCTGGCGACGTACCCAACCCCTGCGCAATGCGGGGCATGAGTAGCTTGGGCGCCTGTATAAAGGGGTGATGACGAGACATGGACGTACGAACTTCTGCAACGAGCATTTGGGAAGTCCAATTTTGGATCCGCCGCGGGGCCCCAATATGCTGGCCCCCCTAGCAGGCCTCGAAAGTGGCGGCAGCTTCACAGATCGCAGCCCCCCAGGGATGGCGAGGTCCCATTTGAACCTGCGTAGGACTTCACTATGCTTCCCCCCCATCAGACCTCGAAGCGGCGATAGTTTCCCAGATCGAAGCCCCCCAGGGATGGTGAGGTCCCGTTTGGGTCTGCGTGGGTCGTCATTGTGCTGGATCCCCCAGCAGCCCTCGAAAGTGGCGACAGTTTCACAGATCGCAGCCCCCCAGGGATGGCGAGGTCCCGCGTGGGTCTGCGTAGGACGTCCTGTGCTGGACCCCCTAGCGGGCCTCGAAAGTGGCGGCGGTTTCAGTGCTCGCAGCCCCCCCTTGGGATGGCGAGGTCCCATGTGAATCTGCGTAGGACGTCACTGTGCTGGACCCCCCCCCCCAGCAGGCCTCGAAAGTGGCGACGGTTTCACAGATTGCAGCCCCCCCTTGGGATGGCGAGGTCCCGCTTGGGTCTGCGTAGGACGTCACTGTGCTGGACCCCCCCCTAGCAGGCCTCGAAAGTGGCGACGGTCTCACATATTGCAGCCCCAGAGGGATGGCGAGGTCCCGTTTGGGTCTGCGTGGGACGTCATTGTGCTGGAGCCCCACGTCACTGCGCTGGACCCCCAAGCAGCCCTGGAAAGTGGCGACAGATTCACAGATCGCAGCCCCCCAGGGATGGCGAGGTCCCGTTTTGGTCTGCGTAGGACGTCATTGTGTTGGACCCCTCCCGCAGCCTTGGAACGTGGCGACAGATTCACAGATCGCAGCCCCCGCCAGGGATGGCGAGGTCCCGTTTGGGTCTGCGTAGGACGTCATTGTGTTGGACCCCGCCCGCAGCCTTGGAAAGTGGCGACAGTTTCACAGATCGCAGCCCCCCAGGGATGGCGAGGTCCCGTTTGGGTCTGCGTAGGACGTCACTGTGTTGGACCCCCTAGCGGGCCTCGAAAGTGGCGGCGGTTTCAGTGCTCGCAGCCCCCCCTTGGGATGGCGAGGTCCCATGTGAATCTGCGTAGGACGCCACTGTGCTGCTGGACCCCCCCCCCCAGCAGGCCTCGAAAGTGGCGACGGTTTCACAGATTGCAGCCCCCCCTTGGGATGGCGAGGTCCCGTTTGGGTCTGCGCAGGACGTCACTGTGTTGGACCCCCCCCCCCGCAGGCCTCGAAAGTGGCGACGGGTTCACATATTGCAGCCCCAGAGGGATGGCGAGGTCCCGTTTGGGTCTGCGTGGGACGTCATTGTGTTGGAGCCCCACGTCACTGTGCTGGACCCCCAAGCAGCCCTGGAAAGTGGCGACAGATTCACAGATCGCAGCCCCCCAGG